CCTTTGATCTGATTCTTGGTACTATACAAATGTAGCAAACAAAACTCCGCCTAAATCATCTACCTGAGCTACAAATCTTTTCTAGAACACGGCAGCCGTTTATTAATGTTGTTTTATATTAGATTGGATAACGTTTAGAAAACTTGGAATCGCGAAAACCCCTATTGTTTTATTCCTGTTATTTCGCATTGATATTCCCTCAATTATTTAAACAATGGAATGGATTGCATGATATCTATCAGTGCAAGTAAAACTGAAACCATGTATTTTAGTCAACTCTTTTTACACCTGAATATTTTAAGGCATTTTTTTTATAAAAGATTGTTTCTATCTAGTGTATAACTACATTTCTACATCTAATTTCGTTTCACAGAACGACAGTGAAATAATGCAATTTCCGTCATATATATATAATCCGACATCAAATAGTCACTTCTTTTATAATTAAGTTAAATTTTGTCACTTACATTACAAGTTTTCAAAACAGTAGCATTGAGAACTCTAGTAATACATTGAAACACTTTTCAGCTAAGGAATGGAAATATACATTCATCCGTAATTAATAATAATAATAATAATAATAATAATAATAATAATAATAATAATAATAATAATAATAATAATAATAATAATAGTCACGGTAACACTTGTTTTGAAGTTATTACGAAAACAAACAAATTATCATTGGGTTATCAGCAAATTACTCAACTAAGCAGATCTTTTTAAACTGTACATATTTAAAATTTGACCGGAAAATAAGGAAAAAAATGCTACGAAAACTGTTGAATTATTCAACTGAAGAAACTATAACATTGATACAACAAACTTTTTTAAAATATGTAACAACTTGATTATATTTAATTCTTTGTTTAGTAATGTGAAGTTTACATGAATAGATAATAATATCTATAAATAGAATCATAGCGACTGGTACTTCCGCTTAAAGTCTACGATAGGAATACTATGTAGTAAGGAAAAAATGATTTCTCAAAATACTACCAATAAATGGGATAATAATATAAGGAAATTTAAATGAAAACAAATATTTACGTTGGTAAACAACAACAACTATTGAAAATACTTCGGCAGAACAAGTGACAAATCTAAATTTAGTTTAGCTTAATTAACCAAGAATGAGATTCGAGTTTAATTACTGTTATTTTTGATGGATATAAAAAAAAATTATTCAGTTAAAAGATCACTTACTTGTAAAACGATCGATCTATTGCAAAGATGTGCTCAACTTTAATTCAGAAACGTTGAAATATGCTCCCATACTAATATATCGAATCAGATATATACATCCGAACATAATTCAAAAATGAATAAATGAGAATTTATAATTAGATCAAATCCTAACATAAAAATCTAAGTTTTCTAAGATCACTGATACTTTTCCCTAAGATAGATGTGTGATCTATTTTTGTTTAGCATTTTAGATACCCCATATTTTAGTCTTAATTCAGGAAATATATTTAATCTGCTAACCAAATATATGGGAAACTAATTAAAAAATTTATTTTCAAGGATTTAATAACAAACTTGTAGCATACATTCTAACTAAATGATATATACTTACTTATGCCTGTTCGCCTCGTGGAGGATCATAGGTTGCCCAATAGCATTCACCATTCAACTCTGTCCTGGACAATCCTATTCACCTGCTATTCATCCTAATCATATCTGCTTCCGATTCCCGACGTAGTGTGTTCTTTGATCTTCCTCTTTTTTGTTCCCCTTCAGGATTCTACGTTAGCACTTGCCTCGTGATTAACTTTGGTGATTTCCACTATGTATGTCCTATCCATTTCCACCATCGTTTCCTCATTTCCTCCTCAGTTCAAAGCTAGTTTGTCCTCTCCACAGTAAGCTGCTGCTGATGGTATCCGGCCAATGGATGTTGAGTACCTTGCGTAGACAGCTATTTATAAGTACTTGTACCATCTTGATGATGGTTGTATTAGTTCCCCAAGTTTCAGCTCCGTAAAGTAGAACTCTCTTTACGTTTGTATCGAAGGTTCTGACCTTGATATTCGTTGGCAGTTGTTTCGAACTCCATGTTCTTCAACCGTAAGAATGCGGCTCTTGTTTTTCCACTCCTTGACTTGACGTCTGCAATGGATCCTTCTGTTAATTGATAATGCTGAGTGAAAGTTCCCACATCTTCCAAAGCTTCTCCGTCAAGTGTGATTGATTTGGTGTTCTCTGCGTTGTAGTAGAGCATTTTCCCTTGTATATGTTGAGGCCTACTGATGCGTAGGCTTCTGCTACACCGTTCGTCATGACCTGCATTTGTTTGTGGTAATGGGATTGAACGACCAGATGATGTGTTCAAATCGTCTAGTTGCATTCATCCTGTCCATTATATTCCGTGTTTCCTTTCAGGTGTCGAGATCTTCATAATCCAGTCGACCACTGGAAGAGGGAGAGAGTAGAGAGACTCGTATGACTCCGGTTCATGCTTGGAATGCATTTGTCAGTTGTCCCCCATGCACTACTTTGCACTATAGTCCATCGTGTAAATTCTGTATGATGCTGACGATTTTCAGGTACACTATAGTGTCGAGGTTTCCATGTTCTCCTATTTTCACTGTCAAACGCCTTCTTATAGTCAATGAAGTTGAAGTACCGTGACGAGCCCCACTCAACTGATTGTTCAATGATGACCTGCAGCGACGCGACTTGGTCTATATACGACCCATCCTTACGGCATCCAGCCTATTGAAGTGGGGGCATGCACTGAATCTTTCATCCGGTCCAGCAACACTCTTCCGGAAACTTTTCCTGGTACTGACAGTAGTGCGGTGCCTCTGTAGTTCTCACATTTACTCAGATCTTTCTTTGTCGTCTTTCCAGTTCATTAGCACATATTCTTCATCCCAAATCTCCCTCAACAGAATGTGGAGCATGATTGCCATTACTCATACGTTAGGCATCAGTGCTTCAGCTGGTATGTTGTCAGATCTTGCTGCTTTCCGACTCCTGATTTGTCTGATGGTCATTCTGATTTCTTCGATCGTTGGTGGAGTGACATCCATAGGAAGGTCTCTGTGTGCTGCTTAGATGGCCTGAGACCAGTCTATTCACAAGCTCCTCGCAGTATTCTACCCATCTGTCCCTCTGTTCTTGGATCACAGTGATTGGCTTCCTTTCTTTCCCTTGACTGGTTTCTTTGGTTTACCATATTCCTCTGCTAGTTTCTTCGTTTTGTCATATAGTTGTTTCATATTTCCTTCTCTTGCAGCTTTTTCCACCGTCGCTACTAGGTCTTCCATGTACTCCTGCTTGTCGGCTCGGATGGTCCTCTTCATTTACTTGTTTGCTTCAGCGTATTCAGTTTGTACCTTGACTTTCTCCGCTCTTGTTGATCGCTGTCTTCTTTTTATTCGCATCCTAAATTGTCCTTCTGAATTTTTATTCATAAAAATATGACCTACCTGGGTCTCCGTGGTGTGATACTGTGAGACTCATATAGCTTTGTGTATAAGTTTTTGTGGGAATATTGTGCCATCTATAACCAATTTGTTGAATGCACATAGGTTTGAAATTCTCTTCCCCAGTTCATGTCGTCCCATGATATCGTCATATCCGGTGTTGTCTATTCCGACTTAAGCGCTTAAATCTGCCATCAGGATGGTCAGGTCCTTTCCTGAGCACTTCGCTATGATCAATTGCAACCTCTTGTAGAACTGATCTTTATCGTCGTCGTTGCTATCATTAGTGGGTGCATAACATTCATTGTAGTCCCTTCCTTCTGCTTTGATGATTCCGGATCCGTGAGATCCCCATCCCACAAATGCATTACTTGCTTCTTTGGACAGCATCAGAGCACCTCCCTGAGTGTGTGCAGCATTGTTCTCTTCGTGACCGGAGTACAGCAGCATCTGTCCCGTATCTAACCTTTGCTGCCCAGCTTGGGTCCAATGGGTTTCGCTGATTCTGAGTACTGCCAAGTTGTATCTCCTCATTTGACTGGTCCTCCAAGTCTACTACTTTATCCGGACGTCCCGTCTAGAAATTGTTGCTCTGGTAGTTAGAAGGGGCTTCGGCCTCATGACTTCCGAAGAATATCGGCTTTCATCATGAGGCGTCATTATTCTTCCCTTAACTCTCAGGGCAGAGCCAATTAAGTAATATCAACATAAAGTGAAGGTTGGTGACCTACGGTCTATATTTCTATGTTGCATAATCATCATTAAATGTTATCGGTAGCGTGACTGCCTCACTTTCCGTATGGTGGAACTCCGAGGTAATTCCTGAAGTTTTAGCGAGGAAATGTGATCAGGAAGGGAGGTTACTTTCCAACTCAGTATGATTTTTTATTAGTCTAAAAGTCCGAACTAAAGCTTGAAAAATATCATCTACATCCAAACTTATATGTAGTTGGCAAATGTTTTCGTAACATAACCTGGATGTGGTTTAACCATAGACTGGGAAAGACGAGATTGAAAGTCATAAATCTCTTTCTAAGGGTATGATATAAGATAGCTAGAATATGAACTACTTAGTCTCCTGATATTTTGCTTAGGAGGAATAAAATGTTTATAATAACCTGGCCATTCATTCATTAACCATTACTCACCTATGTGTCAGTGCAATTTTAGATGATTACTTATATGAAAAAACACAAGATTTTACCACGGTTAAAATGCTCATAAATGTTCATTTGAAAACGTGATGATAATTGATGCAAATAAATCAAATTTCAAAAAAGCAATACATAAGGAGTCACATAACATACTCTCGACTTTTATGTCATGAATCTACCGAGGAACACCCTAAACGATGTGAATTTTGTGGTCGATCAAAATGATTCGGACACATGTAATTAGTAATTTACTTTTTCCTTGAAAGTGTCTTATTAATTGTATTTCCACTTTTTTCTGATACATACTGAATCTCTGTTACGCAATACCAAGTTTTATCACCATGTAGTTAATAAACAAGTTTAGACTGATATATTAACTGAATAAATAACGATTGATACGAAATTCTAGCCATCATAAGATAATTAACTCGCATAAATTTCTTTTGTATAAGTCAAAAATACAATACAAATAAAGAATATTCATAATGGAACCGATAATAAATATTGTAAAACAGCATAGGCAATTTGATACATAAGAGAATCTTCAGAAGATTATCACAATAAGCTCTTTATTATCGGTTTCGCTTATCATGCTGAAATTGACTCCAAACCGAATACATTCATTTGATCGATCCAACCCCTGTTGAAACAATCCTCAGAAAATTTTTCATGTACCCACTGGATGGCATTTTTTCGTATGGCATCGATTTGTGATTCAGACATTTTCAGCAATACCAATTCGAAAATATTTGCGTATTCATCAACTGTAGACGCAAGGAATCCAACACCTGGATTTTCTAACTGATTGGAAGATGAACTAGTTTCTGAGGGTCCAATTATATCAGTAAGTGGACCACCGGATCTGTGAGCAATTGTAATAAGACCTGATGCCATGCCTTCCACGACACCTGTTGAAAATAATACATAAAACAACAGACTATACTTTGAGGAAATAATGCATGAAAAATGACTGACATCAAGGTGTAAAACTGATGTTGAGGAATAAACAGAGATCACATAACGTCCGGATGCTAAAATAGAATAACTAACTAAATGTGAAAGAATTTCATTTTAGCTTAACACAATACACATGGGGAATTGTATAACACGTTTCAATACTCTATACACAATTATTAGCCATAGTTAGCAATATATGCAGTGAACTGAAGTGTCATCTTGAAGATTATCAAGTGTACTTTTATAGTTGCTATGACTGACAGCCGGAAAAGTGACAGAAAACTTAATGAACTAGCAGTGACTTTTACTAGATCTAGCAAAGCACAGATCGATCCACTATTATGGTAATGAACTCCATCATTAAAACAGTACATAATGATAAGGTACAAAAAACTAATTTATTTACTCTTCAAAGGACATGAGCACAGACACAATGATCTGACAAATCACTTTATAACCGTATAATTATCTTTGTGATAGGTACTCAAATAATAATCAACTTACAGCATGTCACATATGTGAGTCAGCCCACGGTTTTAGAAAGCTCAGCTGGCTTTTTGCCAAACTTAGTCACTTGGTATGTGAAATCTTCATCTGCCACTTAAAAATCCAGTCTACTGAGTAGCGGCTCATCCTACCTTACTTTATGGCTGTGAAACATGACAATTAAGAATGGAAGATATTCAGAGGCTAGTAGTATTTGAACATGCCTTCGAATAATTGTTTGTGTATATCAGGACAACTGAGTGAGCAATGATGAGGTAAGTATAGAGTATTGGGTAAATGTAGAAAATTGGTTGGTCTGATAATGAATCTTTATCAACCAAGGCGGTAAGGACATGTATTGCGTATCCTCAACTACCGCCCACCTCCATGGGTTATGATGGCTGGTGTAGGGGGTGGGTCGCAAGAGCACTACGGGTGACCAGACCAAATCGTGGGATCAGTCTATGAAGACGTCAACAATTGAACAGGACCTTGTAAATTACACACTGCCTAGTGGGGGTTTACGCGATTATCGTAAATAATTGTTAGACTCTAAGTGAAGTGACTCAGAATCAATTGCAATGGCACAGGAGTATCCACCGTGTCCCCTTAGATCATCAATCCCGGAATCCCCTACACGTTTGATCTCTTTTCATACCTATTCTTTTCTGTTACTACTGACACTGTGATTACTTTGACCACTCTGAGATTTGTAAGAATAATTTTACTTAGCTGTGTTAATGTTATGTGTTAACTTGAACCGATACATGTACGTACCAGGTTCCATGTTGCATATGACTGACTAAATCGTAATGCCCAACTAAGTAATAATCACAAAACCAAAAGCATATCCGCGTATATACATTTAGCAATTACTTAAAATCGAGATTTCAAGCAACCGTTTCATATAACCCTATAACTTTTTGGAATCAGAGTTGCGGCTTAGTGGTTGTAGCACTAGACTTCACATACAACTTAATGAAACAAAACTCTGCATAAACCTGTGTGTTGTATTGAGTTACCCCAATTAACCAACACACTCACAACTCTTAGTTGGATAGTAACCAGGATTCTGAGGCTTCGAGGATAGTATGCTAACCTTTTTAATATACAGAACAGGCTCTGATAGTTAATATTTTAAAATCCGACTGGGACGTTCTGAATTTTCCACAGATGTGTTTAGCGGTGCTTTTTCTGATGCGCAATTTTATTTAGCTCAGACTGGCGTACTATACAATATTTCTAAAGTCAACTTTAAATTACTTACTTATTCCGAAATGTTCATCCACCATAGTGTGCAAATTAACAGAACAACGTCCAAAATAGCTTTTTAACTCCTGATAGGGTAAATTAATGTGGAATTCTACAGTATCTCCAAGTTCCAGTGTAGCAGCCTGGTCTTTAAGTTTTGAGACAAGGGCAAAATCCTTGTCATCCCGACAGCCACCTATTAAAAGAAGCTTGAACTGGTGTTTTTCATCGCTTTTTGCTGACTTGTGACGGCTAAGGAAGTGATGGAAAGCGTCTAACTGAAGCTAAATATTGGAAATAAAATTTTTCAGGACTTTTTAATTATATTATTCAATAGTGACTGTAGGAAATTCTATAACTGTTCAATACAAGCCCAATAAACTTTATACTAATTGCGCGATCCTATAAAATAAGGCCTAAGTAATAATACGATTATAGCCTATGAAGATTTACTTACTGTGAAACAAGGCCAAAATCGAGATAAAGATGTAAATCTACTTCACGTGTCCAGAATAGGTGTTTCTATATTATTTTTAAGGGAAGTTATCTAGTTGGCAAAATATGCGTAACAATTTAGTTTGGCCAACCGTGAAAATGTGAATAATGGACTCAGAATATAGACTTTTGACGGTCTTCTATTGTATTGTTTACACACAAGATGGCTCTCCTAAATGACAGAAATCTATATTATATTATATTCTTATTTAAACTGAACCGCTAAAAAACAATATCCTTGTCTTTATTCCCTTTTAGTCCTGATTCCTCCTTGTCTCTTTTTTCTCTTCCCAAATTTATTTCACTGGATTATACTCCTTGAATAACATCTCCAAACCCTAATCTTCCCGATTACTGCTTATACTCTTACTACCTCCACCACTACGGGATTTGAATCAACAACTGCATCTCTGTGCTAATGTGGTATGGTAACTCGAACTGATGTACGTACGTACAAAGTTCTAAGTTGTTACTGACTGACTGATTCCCTTATAGTGAGTAAATGATACTGTCTCCTCACCCGTGTGGTGCGTTTCATGGTATACTAATGTACCAAGTATTTTTCTAAGTTGTAAAAAAATTACAATGGTAATAAATGATCACTCGTAACTGAAATAGATCTATACATTATTTGATGTTTAAGGACTCTGAAGCTCGAGAACGACATTGATGTACTAACTGCATGAGTGAATCTTATGAATGAGTATGTACGCCTGATTTGAATGTTTGACTATCCATGATCTACTTGGTGAACACCCGAGGATTCCAAGGCTAATAAACTCATAGGTTTACACAAAACGTTGAGCTTACAAAAGAAACATATCAGCTGTATTTCTCATTATAGTTGTTTTTAATTATTTAAATAAGTGGTTTTATAAGATTTAACTTTACATGGTACGTTATCGGACGCGACCACAAGTGATCAGGAAGAGTTTAGTAGTTTGGTTTACTCGACTTTTTGATCGATGAAATTTAGGACTTAAGAATCAGAAAATATAACTGTTCTAGATTTTGGTTGGGAATGAATACTTGCTATTTAGATAGGGTTTTACTGAACTGGAAACTAAAGAATGTTTAGTTTAGTGATACATTTGAAGATGCTAACGTTGAGTATTTGAGTAACGGAAATATTAAACATTACATAGACCAATAACAGCAAATAAGACACAGTGCTGAGTATCTCAGATTACATGAAGCAGATTTCGGTTCAGCATTAACAGTTAGAGTACTACATGAGTACATATCTAATAATTACTGTGATCAGAAAATACTTTACAAAATGCCATAAATTGAACTGTCTAGAAGTAATATATCTCAATAAAAAAGAAGCAAACCTCGTGATTCTTTTCCGGTCTAAACTGACCGACAGATAAAATCCACTTAAGTCTTTGATCACTGACTAATTTCCCTTCCAAATCCTCGACGGGACAAGGAGGATAGAGCACAACAGGTTTTCCACCCCACAATGACTGAATATGCTTTTGAGTCCAAGATGAATTCGTCATTGCAACATCGACATTTATGCTTGAACCAGAGAATTTATAAGCTTTGATTAAAAGGTTGTAGTATAAGAATTTTATGCTGGAAAAGATCTTATTATTTCTAACCCAATCAGGATTATTATAAGTTAAAACTATTTCATTTTTATTTTTTGAGAACAGTGAGGACGATACACGTTGCAACATAACAGACGATATAGTTGGATAATGTACGTAAGCCGCTGTCTGTGAATTACATAACCATTTGGCTAGAGGTATAGTAAAAGCGAATCCGGTAGTGTCAATATATACATCCGGTGGGCATCTAAAGATAGCTTCCAATCCAACTAGAACTGAACCAAAAGCCTGACCAGCTAGTGTGAATAAACGATATAGCTTCGGAGTTAGTAAAATCTCTAATTTCAGCGGTACAAAATGTATAGCAGAATTGGAAGGTTTGTTGAAATATATTCCAAATATTCTTCGGATGTTACTGAGAACTTTATCAGGATTTGAAAGGCACTCTGCATCATTGGTATAAATAACAATTACTATGTGTTTATATCTACATTAACAAAATGTCATATTTTAATCAATAAAGAAATAAAACAACCTACTTTTCTAACATACACTTAATTGCAGTCCATAGAACACGTTCACCCCCACCCCCACAATTACAATAAGGATGAAAGAACCCAACAATCTTGTGATTGGCTGGAACACCATATTTCTCCATCAAATCACGGTGCATAACGTGTTTTCGATGACGGATAAACCATTTAATTGCGAAAATAATAGCATATACAACTAACAAAAAAACCAACAAGGTCTAAAAGAACTAATAAAATGACCAAATTACCATCATCTTTAAAGAAGATAATTCCCTAACAATCAGTTGCAGACGACAGAAGTCTTTGTATATGCTAAAAATAAAGATAATACATTAAATTAAGAGCTGCAGTCTGTTTGAGCAATTAACTAATAGTCATTAATTAAAGAATTAAAATCCAGCTTCATTAGTTTAACCTAAGCAGTGTGTAGTGTCATGGATTTCCATCCAGAAAAGTTGCACACTGATTTGTCATGTTGAAACTGTCAATGTGTACTTAAACAGAGCAAGACTTTCCTTGGAATTCCAGAAACGCTTCTTCGAGAAGCATGAGAACTAAGTTTAATTGAACACGAGGGCTGCCCTTAGTAATCTAATGGTAAGAATAATGTATTAAGACATAAAACAAGCAGGTTGGCAACAGCACATATTTACTGAGCACAGCTAATGTGAGTAAGAAGTGGTAGCAGAGTGAATAAAATCATCCTTATGGAGAATCAACCCACACCATTGACACCGAGTCACACATTAATTCTCATCTCTATTATCTGATAAGAAGCATGCTGTTTACAATTCTTTTAGTACGAATCAAGAAGGAACTGCCTCTTTAAAGTGAACAAAATTTCTGTGCATCTGACTAGCCACTTTGAGGACTGTAGGATTGTGATGTCATCACTGTATGCAAGACCGATTAAATAGTACTTGACAAAATTATTATTCACTTGCTTCATATGATCTTTTTACAATATGCAAACTGCTCAAGTGGAAATTAGATTCCATCCAACTACCGATAAAGGGCACATTTTCCGAATCCTTGTCCTCGTTGTTTTGACGCCTGGTATTGGGACCCAGCGAAACATATTGTTTTCAGAACTCACTTCCTAGAAAACGTCAGCAGAGATCTTTATAAATGTATCCCTTAGTGATGGACTCTTGGCTAACGTAATACACAAGCAACCGACAAAAATATTGGGACCCGGAATAATTCTCGACGAAATCGAGACATTAGTCCGATTTTCTTCAAAGTGATGTGTTCACATGGTAGAGACTTAGGTAGTGCTGTAATTCCCTATAAAGTACTGGCGTATCAGTATCCCAAGCATTTAAACATAATCACTGCCTAATGGTTGCTTCTTGAGTTCATTATAGCGAGTGAAAAGCTGGCTAAATTAATCCATCGCCTTGACCTGACATATTTTTTCCACTTCTTCCTACTAGATCGGGATAACTCAGAGAACATGACAGGCAAGTAGAAAAGTCAAGAACGAACAAAATACCGGGGCATACAGGCTTTCACATCGAGTAACCGATTCTTGAAACCTAGGTTACAACAACTGTTTCTTTAAACTGGTGTCCGTACCTTTAGTTGACTCATTCAAGAGAAGACTAGACCCTCACAGAAGCTTACTAGAAAAGTACTAACATAGGCTGGAGGCCTTCCGTCCTTACTACACAAGTATGCTACTGATGAAAGCGGAGCTGCGACGAGATAGATTTGAGGTGTCCCAACGAAATACAAGTGAGTGTTTTACGTTTTAGATGACTAAAGCCATAGACAGCTAAAACGTACTTAATTTACTAGTTATTTTGCATGAAAAATTCCCAAGCCCTTAACTTTGGGGAAATCTCCAATGTTTGGGGAAATTTTTGGGGGTTTTGTGACATTTCCCCAAAATGGGTCAAATTTCCCCAAAAACTGGGAGCTTGGGTTACATGTTCAAAATAACCAGTAATTTGAAGTTTATTGTCATATCTTGGACATTTGTAACCTTACTACAAGAGAAAATCAAACCAAGTGAGAAAGTGTTTCTTATTCTATACACAACATGTCTCAAAGTTAACTATTTGGATAATTTCTTGAACTAGATACCTGGTTCGACAAAATTTACGGTGTCGTTCGTACTGATGAAATCAAAAATATGACGAAACTAGGTGTGTATATACTTCCACTACAAAATCATCGCAGCTCTCTTTGACCAGCCTGATAAACTTTCTCCAAACGAAAGCAGGCAATCAAACCTTCCTCATCCACATTCAAATGACCCTGCAACCTCAACCTTTAACTGTTTGTTCTTTGAGACCAGTGTCTGTGTAGCGGGAGGTTGTTGGCTACGTATGACGACTTCAAACTACTTTGAGCCAGTAAGAAAAGTGTTCGGTTATGTAGGAATTTGTAATAAAAACAAATGAACATACGATTAACGAGGAGTTTTGTCACGAATAACGAATCAAGCTAAAATCATCCATGATGTACAAATGCTCGGTGGTAGTATAGCGAAAGTCAACAAGAGCCTAAATCTGATTAATTTGTCCATATGTAATGGTGCTGACCCACAAACAAACAGTCCTTGAAGCTGAATATGCGTTATTTGAAAGGATATCCGTTCAACACTTAACACTTGTAGAAGATCAGGAATGGTGAATGTAGAACACTTTGTCGATATAGCACGGCTCGTCTATGCAGGCGTGGTAACTCTATACAGCCTACTGCTTTTCATATTGAATACGTTATTTTCTTCCTAGCCCAAATGTATTTTTCAGAAGGCCCTAGCAGTAACCACCGACTACCAGTAGAACGAGTCAACGTAGACAATTGTGTGACTTCATGTGAGGTCTGATAAATCAGGTATTCTCATAATGGCAGGTTTACAGTTTTGGATTACGTCTTATTCTGGTAGCGAATATAAATGCATTTAATACTTGCCTAGATATCATTCTTACACATATACTTTACTTTGCCAGGAACACATAAAGTGACCTCTGTAATACCCACAGAACTATGGTAGTCACCGAGAATTATTTACTACAGATTAGTGATTGAAGTGTTTTTAGGTGGGACTTATTGCGAAGTTGTATCAGTGGCTCACTTGGTTAAAGGGAACTATGAACAATATGATGCATTTTAATAGTTTCTCCCCTTATCTTATTATACTGGCTGTACATTAAGAGTGTAAGGCCGTTGAGAAGTTGGTGAGACCTAAGCGAATCATTCACTAGGCAGGTCGCATGGTGTCCAACAATTTATCGGTTTTCTTCAAGGTTCTGAAGGCCAACATCAATTGCATGCCATGCTCAGGCGCATGCGGCAGTGGTTTCCCCTTGCATTTTTCTAAACAGTCAATTATCTTTTCTGTAAAGAGAATTTACTACAGCTAGTAACTTAAGAAGTTGATTCGGCTGGTAATCCTGATGGCATAACACAGGTTAAGCATACACCATAATGAGTGACTTCGACGTAAGCTAAGAAGTTATATCATCCCCTTTCACCTGGGAAGACTTCCGGTCTTAGGCAAAAAACACCTGTGTTGGTGATCTGCAAGAGCTTCCAGTGAGCTAAATGTGGTTTGTTTTTGATGCGATTATCCTTTTGATTTAACACCTTTGAACATACTCAGAAAGGGTCACATTATTCCTATGGTAAGGCGATATAACGTGATCTTTTTACAGATGGGGTCCTAATTATGCACTGAAAATAGTTTTGATTAATTGTGAAATCCGTCAGCTATTCATGGGCTCGTAATAGTAATTATGTGTTATTGGCCACAGAAAATCTACGAGTCGAAAAACCTAGATAATCACAAAAAATTATTCAGACCAATTTCCATTAATATCGAGGACTTACAGAACTATTTATTTTTGGGGTATATTTAACGCTACAGCTCACTTCCTGTTACGGGAGAACTGAAGACATTTGTCTGATTAAAACCTTTTTTGTATATTAATAATTTTACTGTGTTTTGGATGTATTTGTTCTACTTAACTTTTGAACTTATTTGTTTATATCATTAATTTCGGACATTTTGGTTTCTCTTTGTCATTGGTTTGGTAATTGGAAGTTTTCGCTCCGGTAACCTACAAAATTGAAGGTTTGTTTTGTAATTGTTATAATTATTGTTGTTAGAACGACATTTGGGTCGACTATTTATAAGTCGCGAATAAACTTTGGTATCTAATATGAATTTGGTCCTATTGTTAATTTGGGTTCGTGAATTGCAAATAGATCGACATGTCGTACTTCAATAAAGGGAACTAGCAAAAACTTGGACGTGACACTTCCCTCTAGTGGAATAGTGATGACCTTAGGACATGGCCAGCCAGAGTTTGGGATCTGGTGAATTTATTGTTGGTACACATTCTTCCCTGATATAAGAAACCATGTGGTACATAATAAAAATCAGAAAAGTACAACGAAAATTTTGATTCATCGCAAATTTCATTGGTTTATTCATATTTCCCTGCCGTCCTGGAAAACAAAACGGAGTTGTGAGTACATGGCGAGAATACACTCGTACATGAGTAAGTATGTAGGGTTGTGATCTACATGATTTTAATACATTTATCTTTGCTACCATATTAATCGACCTAATCCCAAAATTGTAGGTTCGTCATGATGTGACTACTTAATCTACATAGTCATACGTAGAAGTCACATTCTAGTCTACGGCAACGCGTCCTATCGTGATAATGGGCAATATGACATCCAAAACATCTGAAAAACACACTTCGAACTGGGAAGGGAGTAACATATACGACAGAACAACAAGACGTTACATAGTGTAACAACGCCAGCACGACCGAGTCATGCCACTTCGATTAATCGTTCCTGAGTTGCTGCTATGGCCTACTCTTAGTGTTACATGTCAAATGTAAATCTTTCCACTATCTATACGCTGAGCTTCGAAGGCACCCTAATGCCCTGGTACGGCCGAGAGTGGGGAGAGTCCGCTCACCCTCTCGAAATTCTCTCACATGGCCACGCGTATATGCCCTCTGCCAGGGAAGTCCTACTCACTGCCTTCTCGTGGCGGGGTGTTGTTTAAGGAAATGAGAGGAAGAAAAGCGAATATCCTGCGCTTTAACCGGGTCACAAACCAATGGTGCACATGGGCTCCAGTATCCTGCGAGAACGAATGGTGTGAGATCCATTTTGAATGTTTTGTGTTGGTGAAAATCCCTCCATGTATATACTTGTACTTTGTTCCTATTGATCCCCTTAGTTATACATTGTTGTCTTTTGATTACATCGAATTGTTAATACTTGCATTTTTATTATAGTTTTTGTTTTTCTTACGCATTCACTAAGTTTGTGTTTCTTCCCGAACTGCATCTGTGTTGTTTTACTTGACACTTGTTCTTGGCGGTAGCCATATTGATTTGCTCCTCCTTTTGTGTGTGTTCTATCCAGTCAGGATAGAATAACGTTCATTTGTTGTGACTGGTAATTTTCCCTCATCTTCTATCAACTTCTTTATTTATTGTAATTTAGAGTTGATTGATTGAACAATTATTGGTTGAATAGCCGGGTGGTAATGTTTGTTTAGGTAACGATTTACATTTAAATTTATGATGAATTATAGAACCGCTATTTACCCGATTACTTGTTTTGATTTCGACGGGAAAGGGCGCGTGTCTAAAGTCCCCGGTCGGCTATTCTTCAACATCCAAACCATAGTTTGGATTATACAGTTCTAAACAATTATTACTTGGCTGAAATCCTTTGGCAATCGTTCGCGGATTTTTATTATCGTCTCTGGAAATATTTGGTCGTTTCGTTTATAATGCCAACTAATCGTCGAAGGAAATCAAGCTCAAAGTTCGTTGATGTTAATGAAGAATCCCTTATTACCAAGCAAGTGCCTCATGATGTCCTTAAGTGTCATGGTTCAGACTCGAATAGGGTTGATTATCATGGTAGTGACTCTAGTCTTAATTCGATGACAGATGACGTTAAAAATCTTAGTTTAAAGGAAAAGCAAAGGCGTGAATTACCAGGAAAGAGCGTTCTGCCTATAGCGCCTGTTGTTGGTCTAGAACTACCAAAGGTTGAATTGAGTTATTTCGATGGACAGCCAAGAGGATACTGGAAGTTTATAAGGCAATTTGAGACCTATGTAGCATCAAGAGTCACTGATGATAGCCAACGTTTGCTCTATTTAATGCACTATTGTAAGGGCAAGGCGAAACAGCTATTGAGGGTTGTGTCATGATGGACGCATCTTCCGGTTACAGGAGGGCAAGGGAAATCCTTAAACGTTTGTTTGGACAGTCTCATGTAATCGCTCGAGAAACATTAGAAGACTTATTCAATGCTGTAAATATTGATTATACTGACGGGGAGCAACTATCAAACTTGGCTATTAAAATGGAAAACCGTGCTATGGTCTTGGAACAGATGAATTATACCTCTGATCTAAATTCCTTAGTTACTTTGGGAAGAATAGTGAGACTCTTGCCTCAACCTATGCAAGCCCAGTGGACGGACTGGGTGGATAAATTGACCGAAGATGATAGAGAGCCGACGTTTCACGAACTCACTCAGTTTATCGCATCGCGTGCGAGAGTGGCTTGTAGTAGATTTGGACGGTTAGCAAATTGTTCAAGAACAGGACATAACGTAAAGACGAACTGTCACGTGCAATCGGAGCAAGGGAATAGTTCGACAATGAAAACTAAATGCAGTATGTGTTCCTACGACCATGCTATTTATAAATGTCCACAGTTCTTAGCGCTTACAGTTCAAGACCGATGGTCTTGTATTCGAATTGGGATTACCAATTGTAGCGTGGCGTCGAGTTGAGATTAACTATGAACACCGATACCAAGAAACACGTGCCAATTAGATCAGAAGGCGTAAGAAGCTCGTTCCAAATGACTCCATAAAATCCCCGAGAAGCCAAATATCAGAAGGCAATTAATGGACCAAGTCGATGTTTATTTACTGGCGATCTCGTGGCATCGAAAGGATACCGAGATCGTGCCAGGATACAAGCTTGGTTACAGAACGTAACCGAATTCGCGCGAAGTTACAATCAAAGTGTAAGTATAAGAATGGAAGCACAAAATAGCTGTCATTAGCACAGTCAAACAAAAGCAGGTTAAAACAAACACTGGTACAGTTGGTTATAATAATAATTGTTTTTATTAAACCAGTCGTGTTCTCGTTATAAACGTGAGTCACTACAGTCTCACGCTAAAGGCAAGGGTATCTGTCTCGTCTGCCTTAAACAAGGACATAAGGCCAGTGAATGCAAGAT